AGCCGGAGCCGAGCCATGCGCTCTGCCCGGGACCCCGGCGCGGGGCGCCCCAGCTGCGGGACGGCGACTGCGAAAGCGGCCGCGGGGCCGGGGGGCGCACATCGCGGCGAGGGAGGGGCCGAGCGGGGAGAGGAGGGGCGGGAGGATGTGGGGCTTACGGTGGCCCGGCTGCAGTAGCTCGCCGTCGGCCCGTCGCTCCCGCGGACAAGGGCCTGGAAGAGGCTCCGGGGCGGCGCGCACGCTCCCTCCTCCTCCTTGCGGGGCCCTGTGCGCTCCGGGCAGCGAGCGAGGAAAGCGATCGGGAAACGCAGCGGCGGCAGAGCCGTAGCCCGGAGTAGCTTGACGCGCCCAGGCTGCTTCCAGCGGCACCGCTGCTCGGGCCCACGGACGGCTTCCTAGCCGATCTGGCGTCGCTGCTGCACGGCCGCGGAGAGAGCAGGGGCGCCCTGGCAGCGCCTGCGACTCGGGGCCCTGGCCCAACCCCAGCGGGGCCGAGGGCTGCCCTGCTGTGGCATCATCCGCCCGGTTTCTCTCCCACCTTTTTCTTTTTCAAGAAACGCAGAGCGGCCTTCCCCAGTCTCCTCCCCCTGCTCCCAGCCCGAGTCCCAGACCCGGCTGTTCAGCGCTCCGCCCCGCTGGCTCTACACACCGCACGCGAATGCACTGTGCTAGTAATAATAACGATTCTGAGAGCGAGGGTGGAACAGGGTGCAATTGCTGGGCAAGGGACCTGGGAAGTCCAGTCTAGTCCCTGCGCAACTCAGCCATGACGCTCACAGGGAGACTTCGGGCCAGTCACTGCCTCTCAGCCCAACTGCTTCCCAGGGTGGTGGTTGTGAAGGGAAAATGGAGCTATGTACTCGTAAGTGGCTTGGGTTTCTCACAAGAGGAAAAAGACAGGGTATAAATGCAATGTAATAGCAACAATTAGACATGCAAGTATTTTACAAACCACAATCATCTGTTTTGGTGATGTGCATGTGGCCAGCCTACTCTTTGCACTGCATATTAGTTTACCCTGCAACAGGTTGCTGTCCAGTGCTTTCAAAGCCAGGAAGGTGTTTCTTCTGGAGGTTGAAGTCACATGAGTAGAAATGTACTTGTCATGCCAAGTTTCCAACGGAGCTGCAGGGTGTGAGCGACTGTGTGGCGGTGCGAGCGTTCAGGGCCTACAGCTCACCTCATCAGCTGAGCCAAGTGGTGCCCTGAGTATAGGAATGTGCTTCCTGACTGTCATTCCCCCTGAGTTAGAAGCGCTTGCCAGAATAAATGTGTTCACCTTTCAGGTGCCCCAAGACTTTGCTGTGTTTGTGGCAACAGACTAACATGCCTGGAAACAGCAGTCTGGGGTTTAGGAGGCCCAGTGACACAAACATGCGGGTGTGTGTGTTTGAAAGCATTCAGAGAGACCACTGGTGTGACTTTTCTCCAAAGCTCACCTGTCACAGTTCAGGTTCCAGGTCCCAGGCTCCAATCCATCCCACAGCATTTCATGGGCCTTTGTTAGAATCAGAGTAATAGTGTTGGAAGAGGCCTATCAAGTCCATCAGGCCCAATCCCCTGCTTCATGCAGGACTCAGGTTAAAGTATCCCTGACTGATGGCGATCCAGTTGCATCTCGAATGCAGGGGCCCACGACCTGCAGTCCAGGGTAGCATTTGCCTTTCTTGCAGCCACATCGCAGTACTGGCTCATATTCAGCTGGTGATCCACAGCAATACCAGGAACAGTCGCCATTTTAGTATGAAGCATCCCCGTCATGTAACTGGTTTCCTTTTCCTGGGTGCAGAATGTGGCATTTGTGCCTTTTCAATTTCATTCTGTGGTTTTCAGCCCAGTGCCCAGTGCAGTGCAGGGCCACAAGGCTGGTGGCTGGTTTGCAGGGGAAGCCATATGAGGCGAGACAGAGGGAACTGGGTCTCTCCAGCCTGGAGAAGAGGGGACTCTGAGGGGATCTGTTGGCGACATACAGGTATGTGAGGGGATGTCACACGGAGATGGGTAGAGACCTGTTCTCCCCTGCAGAGGAAAGCAGGACACGCTCCAACAGAGCAAAGTTCAGGGAACCCAGGTTCCATTTGGATGCCAGGAAGCACTTCCTGACAGTCAGGACCACGAGGGTGTGGAATGGGCTTCCCCGGGAGGTGGTTGAGGCCCCATCGGTGTGGGTGTTCAAAGATAGGCTGGACGTGCACATGGTGGGCATGTCCTGAGCAGAGCTGGCTGGAGCCGAGGGTCAGAATAGATGGCCCGGGAGACCCCTCCTGACTCGCTCTGTTTCTATGTTTCTTTGTAACGCCCAGTAACCCTGATTGCTCAAAGGTACACACCTGGCAGGCAGTGGGTGGCCAACGACAACTCGCCAAAAGGACAGCATAGCACAGCAATTGCAAAATGCTAATGCCGATGTATCGCTGCAAATTTCAAAAGAGTTGTTATATTGTTTAGTTTAAAATAAATATTTTTTAAAATGTTATTTTTAAGGGAGCCTTCAGGCTGATGGGCGGGGTAGAATTATGATAAAGAAAAAATATTTTAACCAGGAGTGCAGTCCGGCATACCATCGTGTGGAAGACAGAGACCCAGGGCCCAGGTGCTCGCTGCAGATGCGCAACAGTAACTCTTAAGGCCGGTCTCTCCAAGCCGAAACTCGACAGGGCGGCCCTTCATGCAGGGGCTGCCTGCAAATGGGGACAGTCCTTTGCAAGCAAGGGTGCTCCGTCCTCTCTGAGGGGCACTGACTCTGCACCCGGAGGACCCTTTCTGAGCTATCCGAGGAACACCCTTCCGCTCGCTTTCCGTTTGCCTGGCCTTTCCAAGATGCCGTCAAAGAGGCCCTGCCCGGACCACGAGCTCGCAGGTGCCGCAGCGTGTGGGCCCTCCTGGTCGGCTTGGGCGCCTGCAGCATTCTTCCTGGGTGGGCCCAGTCGCGCAGCCACTGTGGTGGCCACTCGCACACGTGGCACGCACGTTCCTTGTGTACGCTTTTGGCCGCGTGGCATCGCATGCCTTCTCACGCCGAGCCCGGTCGGACTAAAGGAAGGTCTTGCGAACAGAACAGCACTGATGCAAAAGAGGGTTCGGGAAGCCACTTTCATGAACGCCAACAACGCTTTAAGCGGAGTGAGGGCTCCAGAAAGACACGTAGGCAAAGGAGGCACACGCAGCGCAGCGGCCTTGTCGTCATCATGTGCCACCAGGTGGGTGACCCCGAGCGAAAGCTGTCCAGAATGTCCTGCCCTTGACAGCCCTGCTTGCCTCGTGCGAACTCAAGCCTGGGGCTCCCCTTACGGGCCTGCGCCATCTCACGGTCGGTCTTTTGCCTCCTCTTCTGCCTTCAGCCTTCCCTTGCATGATTGTCTTCTCGGGTGAGTCTTGGCGTCTCATGATGTGCTGGCTTTCAGTTTCATCATTTTCGTTTCCAGGGAACGTTCTGGCTCGCTTTGCTCCAGGACCCACCAGTTCGCCAAGCCGTGGGGCTTATCATGTCCGCGAGTCCAGTCACTAACTGGGCGTGACAGCCGTTGCTGCACTTTCGTTCGCCTGTTCCTTTTGTGTGAAATTGCCTGATCAAAGAGTTGGGATCAGGCAATTTCACACAAAAGGAACAGGCAGAAGAGCGCAGCTGTACTTGCTTCAGATCTCGGATCCCACAGGGGCGAGAGGCTGGCTTTTTTAAAGCCCTGGAGGTGGTGGCTTGCCTGTTTGCCCCTTCCTGGGGATGTCCATGAGCACAGGTGTGATCTGGAATGGCCGTCCTCATCATGTGGCTGTTGGCCAGCTCTCCCTTTCCCTTTTGTTCCCTTTCAACACTTTCCCAGCCTCTAAGGACGTTTCACAAACCAGTTTTAGCAGCCTGGCCCTGTATGTTGACAGGATGGGGGTTAAGTCACAAAGCCCGGTTCTTACTCAGGACTCCGAGACTGGCCCTGATTAACTTCACAAGCAACGTGTCCCCCTCCAGGTGAATGGTGTTCCAATGCTTTTCCCCTCCTTCTCTGAGGGCTGGAAAATAGCCCCTTGGTTCAATGTAAGGCCTTTCCTTTGTGGGGCTTTTAACCCATTTGAACCCGACCCTTCACTGGGACTTCTGCTTCCAGGTTCTTGGCAGCACTTCGTCTCCAAGCATTCCTGTCCTTTGCCCATGCTGGCCAGCACTTCTGGGAGCTGAAGTCTCAGACGGCCTGGAAATCTACCTTCTGCCATGCAGGTTGCACACAACACTGGGTAGCTAATAGCCAACTCTGGGCATCCTGTGCCATGGCTCGCCCACACATTATGGACAAATGTACTGCAAATGTGACTCAAAGTGCATTGGAGTTGACTGGGAGCACCAAGGTGCAGTGAAGTGCATCAAGGGGCTATTTTCTTCCCAGCCAGCAGTGCTGCAATTGCTTTGATTATGGCTCTGCAGTGGTGAAAGGACTGGCAAAATGCAGGCAATCTGCAGCAGAGGCTCATAAAATAGAGGACAAAGTTGTTGGGAAGCTGCCCAAGTAGCCCTTTTCTTATAAAACCCAGCTCCTTTCTTCCCATAATCCACTCTGGCTGGCTGAAGAGAGGCTGCTTTAAGATAAAGCTGCTCTGAAGCTTCTGGACAACCTTTCAACCTTTCCTCTACTAGAAACCTGGAGGCCCATGACTCTTTGCCAATAATAGAGTCAGGAAAGGAAGGAGTGCCAGTAGGATAAATTACTTTACACTCTTGCTGTCTTTTATGTCTGCCATGAGACTTCCTTTCAAAGAACAGGGCGTCTCCTCCCAGCTGAAAACAACAATACTGTATTTTTTATTTTTATTTTTAAAGGTCAACCATTAACCTCTGGATAATTAAAGTTCCTTCTTTTGTTTTTTGCTTTTTTTAAATTCCAAGAGCCTTATTGTTCCAAGGAAACGTGGATTTTGTCCCCACACGCACACACATCTGTCTGGCGCACAGGGAAAGCGGGTGCGCTGTGGGGGCCCGGCCTGTCGGAGATGCCCTTTGCCGGCTGCCTCCTCTGCCATGGCCCTGGTGAAGTTCCAGGAGCTGGGCGAAGACGAGTCCGGCGTGGAGGACTGTCTGGACAGCATCAAGGCCCTGGCAGCAAAGCTGAAGTTGCAGACCCGGCGCCCTTCCTACCTGGAGTGGAGGGCCCATGTGCAAAGCCCCTCCTGGAGAAACAGGCTCCTGGGCGGGCCCCTCCAGGCCCTGCAGGAGACACGGGCTGAGGAAGTGGGCGCGGGAGACAGCCAGCCCCGGGCGCCCTCCAGGACCATTTGCGGCTTCCCCACTATCAGCCACGCCTTCGAATGGCTCAGGACGGAGCTGGTGAGTAGCTCTGCACCTCCTGGGGACCCGCACGCTCCCCGCGGCTGCAGGAGCAGCACATCCCTCGGCTCGGCACCAAACCAGGGCAGCCCCAGAGCAGCGAGGAGGGCGAGGCCCTCAGCCAGCGCTGCTCTGGGCGCTCGAAAGCCAAGTACTCCCGGAGATGGGAAGTCTCTTCCGAGGGGACAGTCTCCTCACCAGGAGAGGAGAGAACAAACTGCAGTGGGGTAGGCAAAAGAAGGGGGGATGTTCTGGAGACATTTACTGTGCCAACGGATTTGATCTGCTTTCTCTAAAAGCTGCCCGCTAGCATTCTGGCCTCTGCTTCAGACCTCCTGTAGGTGGGCCCCGCTTCTGGGAAAAGCTTCTCCGTGGCCTGGTTCAGTGTCGCTTGTTCTTCTGCCTCCAGAGCAGAGACGGTGCAGTGGTGCTGCGGAGCTGGCCGCCCATTGCCTTTGCGGGCTCACCTGCCTGGCTGCCTTTTGCTGGCCTGGAAAGCTGCCCTCTCCCTGCAAGGCTCATCCTGCGGGTTTTTGCTGGGTTGCATAACGCTTCCGTCTCATTTTCCTGAACTGGCTTTCTGTGGCCAGAAAGAAGATGGGCAAGGGGACAGAAAAGCTCGGGCGTGCTGGGAGGGTGAGGCGATGACCTTGTTCCCCTGCAAAGTCTGTGACAGGGCAGGGGATGCCTGGGGCTGGGCGGGCAGGCAGGCTGCTGCCCCCGTTCACGAGCCCCTGGTTTGTATTTCACACCAGCAGCTCCCCGAAGGTGCAGTCCGGTCCGGAAGCCTGCAACTGGTGGAGCCCATGAGGCGCGCTGTGCAAGGAGGGGCACGCTTGGATACAGGGGACACCTCCCACCCCCATCCCCACCATCCAGCGCTTAGCCTGCCAGCTCCGGCTGCTGAGCGATGTGCCTCGGGGAGTGGGGAGGGAGGCGGAGGGGCTTCCAGGATACTGTGCGCTGGAGCTTCCGTTCTGCATCGGCCAAATGTGCACAGAAGCCCTCCTCCCAGGCCATGTTTGCAACCTGCCTGACGCAGCGCACCGTGGCGATGGAGGCGGCCTCGTTACACAAACAGGCTCCTGGCCTGAAGCGCAAGGGGTCAGCTTCCTTCCTGGGGCTGCCCCTTGTCCCAGCCAGGGGGAAGTTGACCCCCTCATGCTTTAGGCCGGAGCTCTGCTGGCATCTTGGGGACCAAGAAGAAAATTTCCTTGATCTTGTAGCACAAACAGGGCTTCTGCCCAGAAGTGCCACAGGTGCCCAGGATTGCTGATGGGCTCTCCCGAGGAGATGTTTAGCACCTGTCCCTGTTCCCTAAATTTGCCCTCTGCAGGTAGAAACATAGCAACAGAGCGAGTCAGTAGGGGTATCCCAGTTCATCTAGTCTGACCCTTGGCTCCAGTTGGCTCTGCTCATGTGATCCCCAGCATGTGGTTGTCCAATCTTTCCTCGAACACCCTCACTGATGGGGCCTCAACCAGCTCCCTTGGAAGCCCATTCCATATCCTATGGGTCCTAACATCCGGAAGAACTTCCTGGCATCCACCCTGAAGCCCAGACCGTTTAGCTTTGCCCCCTTGGGACATGTCCTGCCCTTCACTGCAGGGGAGAACTGGTCACGACTCTCTTCCATGAGACACCCCTTCACATAACTGTAAGTTGCTGTAAGATCCCCTCAGAGCCTCTTCTTCTCCAGGCTGAAAAGTCCCACTTCCCTCAATCTCATCTTGTATGGCATCCACCCATATCTGGCTGTGCTGAATGGGTTCCAAACTTGCTATGTCCACGATTCTGGCTATACATACACGGGTGGCGTTTGCCTTCTTAACCACCACGACACACTGCTGGCTCGTGTTTAACCTGCTATTGACAAGTACCCCGAGGTCCCTTTCACAAGTGCTGCTTTCCAGCCACTTGTCCCCCATCCTATACTTATGACAGCTATTCCTGTGCCCCAAGGGCAAGACCTTGCACTTATCCACATTGAACGCCATCCTGTTGTCCCCTGCCCACTTCCACAGTCTGCCTAGATCCTTTTGGCCACCTCCCCCACTTTAGTATCGTCTGAGGATTTGGTCAGCAGACTGGTTAGCTGCTCCTCCAGGTCACTGATAAAGAGATTGAACAGAATCTGTCCTAGAACTGAGCCCTGGGGGACTCCGCTTGTCACCAGATGACTTGTTAAAATTTGTATTATGAGTAGCTGTAATTATCCCTCATCAAGGTTTAGTTGCGCTATTCCGCCTTGCCTCCAGAAGTCAAATTCTGGATGGAGAGGAGATGCAGCCCATCTCTAGTATATGAAAAGCAGGATGGGGAGGCCCATATGGAAAAGAGAGACCAACAAGCGGGCGTGAAAGGGAGTCTCGGGTGCCCACTGGGAGCCCTGCATCGCTGCGTCCTGCATCAGGGGCCACTGGTCCTATGCCAGAGACTCTGTGCAAAGCCGGTTCCCCCGTCTTGGTGTCACAAGCACGCACGGAGCCCGGCCCTGGGCCGGTGTAGCCCAGCACTGCCCATGCTGACCTCTCCGGGGATTCAGACCTCCTGAGCCCCACCTGGGGGTGCTGAGTCTGAAGTAAGCCAAGGCCCGGCCTGCGGACCGGAGTGCCGCACAGCTTTAGTCGGGGAAGGGTCAGGGGCTGGGGCATGGGGTGCGGATGCGGGGGGCTGCCTCTCGCTCCTCACCGGCCTCTTTTCCTCACGCCCAGCGGGAGATGCAGGCCATGGATCACAGGCTGGCCCGGCAGCTGATGGCTCTGCGGGCTCAGATCCACCGGCTGAAGGTGGAGCAGGCCTGCCACCAGCACAAGGAGATGCTGGACGATGCCACCTTCAAGCTGGAAGGCTGTGAGGAGGACTCCGATCTGCTGTGCAACATCCCGCCCAAGATGGCCTTCCTGTTGTCCACGCCGCTCAAGCACATTGGCGTCACGCGCATGAACATCAACTCTCGCCGCTTCTCTCTCTGCTGACAGCCTTGCCTCCCACTGTGTGTGCCTCGGCCCCTGCGGGGGTTCGCGGAGATCTGCCTGGATCGGTAGTCCCAGTCCAATTCTTGCTGCGGCCTGGTGCATGCTTTGGACCCCATGGTGGGGAGGCAGCCTCCCGCGAAGCCGGGGATGGCCCTGCCAGGACGTGATTCCCGACCACGGTCTAGGGCAGCCCGTTGTCAGAGGAAGCACCAGCTCTGCACCCCTCAGAATGGGTGACCTGCCAGCTTACTAGACGGGATGGCCAAAGAGCCCAAATGGCCATGATGTGTGGGGTGGGCACCATTTTAAAGCTGCAAAGAGTCCATTAAAACTGACAAGCATCTCTTTAGCTGACCTGGAGCTGGGAAAGAACAAGAATTTAGGGAAGCTGGGTCACTTTGAGTTTGCTGGCTCATCTGTGCTTTAAAATCCCAAACACTTGGTTGGCTTTAGAATCCATTCTCGTGTACAAGGGGGGACCCAAAAACCCCAAGAATTTATTTATTAAAAAATGTGTATTTATTTTTACAGTCACCTTCATAGTACAGTGGCACCTTGGCTCATGAACTTAATCTATTCCAGGACTCTGGTCGTGACCCAAATTGGTCGTGAGACGAGTCAAATTTCCCCATAAAGGTCAGTGTAAATGAGGTTAATCTGTTCTGCAACTGTTTTTTTACTCACAAAAATTCGAAGCAAAGTGGCAAAGAACAGCAAAGATCGCGGCCGTCTCCTCCACCCGCGATCATGTGGGCGCAATCGCTGGCCTGCTGCGGGGGAGCACGGGTGCAATCGTGGCTGTGTCCCACCCCAGCACGACGGACCGCGATCGCGCCCATGCAGGGAAGGCGGGCACGCTCCTGATCGTCACCCGATGCAGAGTTCGCGACCCGTGGCAAAATTTTTATGAAATTTCTGTTTGCGACTCAATTTGGTTGTGAACTGAGGCATTCGTGAGCCGAGGTGCCACTGTACTCTTTCTTTGATGCAATACACCCATCGAGACTTTTTTTCCACTGCTCAAACCAGGTTTTGAACGTGTCGATTTGGATGCCTTTTAGGGCTTCTGCTGTTTTTTGTTTCACCTCTCCCACATCAGCAAAACGCTTCCCTTTGAGGATTTTTTTCATCTGGAGAAACAAACAAAAGTTGCACAGGGTGAGATCGGGCCAATGGGGAGGGAGGGGCACTGGGGCCATGGCCGTTTTTGGCCAAAAACTGCTGAGCACTCAGCTGAGCAAAATGTCACTGCTGCACATGGTCCATGCAAATCAGCCATCACGAAACAGGTAAACCTGTTGAAAGAGTCTCCAAAAACCTTCGCTGAAGCCGCACGCAGCCTCTCACAGCGACCCAGCTGAGTACACTGATGCAGGTGGATTCCTGGAACACTCACCTACAAGGGCTTCGCCCTCCAGAAGATAATTCCTGGGGGGGTTTTGGGTCCCCTCTCGTATAATGTGGTCCTGCAAATATATGAATGGCAGCAGGCAGATCAGTTGCATGTCTTCTGGTTATGGTTTACTTTTTTAAAATGTATTTTTAACTGGAAGCCTGCAACATATCATTACCGCCCAAGAATCCATCCACTTGGAGAAATTAGCTGAGTGCATATACCTTGCTGTACGGATACAGCGTTCACCTTCTCGCCACACAAGCCAGCTGTCCAGCTACCGGTCTTCCAGGCAGGTCTCCATAATCCCTGGAGGTTAAGCAAGTGGAGTCCTGGGGCAGAGCCTTTTCCGTTGTGGCACCCATTCTTTGGAGCACTCCTGACAGCTCATTTCAGCACCAAGCAATGCTTTGTTAAATTTGCCCAGGCGCTTAAAATATTGTGCTTTGATGCATCACTGCAATTGGTTTCTGTTAACTCTCTATTCTTCCTTTTTTGTTTTGAATTATTATGTGTTGTGTTATGGCTAGTTTTGAATCACTGTTAGTCACTCAGAGAGGCTGCTGCAGAATAGAAACATTATAAGCAAACAAATAAAATGTACCAGCCACTGCCGCATTCTGAACATGCATGTACAACACTACAATTGTGGCCTCTGCCTCCCAGACCGTAACAGGTTCCGGGCACAGCTCTGTGGGGTCGGACTTGAATGATGTTGTGCCATCGCTGTTCATTTACTGAGGAAAAGACTAAGCAGGCAGTGAGAAAACAGGCGTTCAGGAAGACAAGGCCGGACTGTGAATTGCATGGCAGCCCATCACGTGTGACAAACCACGGCTGAGGGGTTGTGTCCTGTGAACCTCTTCTATTGAGTCATGCGGGGCGGCCAGCTTGAGGCCTACAAGCCACCATGGCAAGCCATGGGGCATTGAAAGGGCAGTTGTTCCTACAATGGGTTGCCGTGTTGACCAAACCCAGGCAAGCAACCCACTGCGGGTACTAGGAACCACCTAGCAAGCCACTAGGTGAAGGCCCTCGCTGCTCTGGTCAAGCTCGCCTCAGGTGGGAAATCACGAGTCCCTGGCTGGCTCCCGAAAGGCTCTTTGCTGTGCCTGGTACCAGCTGGGCGTCCCAGCCACGATTACAAGCCCCTCTGGCTCACCATGGCTTTACCCCCGTTTTTCTTCTGGCAACTGTGATCAAAAGCCCGAGCGCTGGCTTTTACAACCCCTGTTTTGACAGCCACTGACAACCCAAGCAGCACCTTGGAGGGACTGCGCTTGTTTGCAAACCATTTCTCCCCCACCTTTGGGACCGGTATTTCCACATTTGGAAAAAAACCATCTTTGCACACGCTCAGCTGTTTACTAACTGAGGTCTGAAAGAGGAGCAAAGCACAGCAGGTACTAATCCTGGGCATTGACCCAGAGAGGTTTTTCCCTCCTTTGGGTTGGGTTGATTGATAGCTGCCAAAAGGTGAGCTGACAAGTCAAAGAAAAGTGAAAGTGATCTGGGATTGTGAAAAGGAGGTGGTGGGATTTAAAGCAAGGTCCTCTTTTTGGGGGAGACTCCACTGTGTTAAGGGTGCTTTCACTTTTCCACTTGTGTCTGCGACTCTACATGCTTGGGAACAGGAACCACTGCAAGCCAGCTCCTTTAAAAGGATCCACCCTTTTGATAACTAGCTGCCAAAACAGGAAAGTTATTGTAAAGTTTTTTTTAACAGCACTCCCCATGTTTTCCTGACAGGAGCATATGCATTGGCAGCTGTCAAGAGGAACCAGGTTTCTTTTTAAGCTCTGGACAGTTTCCCTGAGTTGCCTGACGCCCTTTCATAGCAGCTGCCCAAGGGACATTGTCCCAGTGAGGCTTCCCAACTTGGACCCGTGGAAGCATGCAAATCTGATTGGAAATCCAAAAATGCACCAAAAAAGCATATCAGCCACAAGACACACCAAAGAGAGAAGAAAGGGGTGACAGTTAGTGGCAACCCCTCCTCTGTGCCGTTTGGGCACTTTGGAGGGGCTGTCAAACGGGACCACAAAACGCTGTCTCCGCAAAGGGCAAGGGCAACATGCTTTGTGATGCAGAGAGGTGGGCAGCCAAGATGCGTCCGCTGCGAGGCCCACTCCGGGTCACGTCAGACCCGAGGAGAAGGACGGAGGCCGCCCGGGGTGAGCCTGACTCTCTTCCAGGGACAAGGTGGGCTGTTTCACTGAAAACCCACCCTGCATCACCAAGACCTCACCCTGCATAGCTTACCTGCTATGTCTGGCCTACCATGCTGTCTCCTGGTGGATCTTATTCGTCCTTCCTTCCAAAGAAGACAAGAACCTGAACCTGCAACCCTACAAGCACCTGTCACACCGATCCGCAATTCAGAGGCTCGGAAATCAGTTTCTTGTCAGGGCGAATAGGTTTATTTAGAATTGAATGCATGGATCCATGGGTGCCTAAGAAGGAACACCCAATGCTAATTCCATTAGGGTTATATAGAATACATAGAACCATAGAAACAGAGCGAGTCAGAAGGGGCCTCCCGGGCCATCTAGTCTGACCTCCGGCACCAGCCAGCCATGCACAATACACAAAAGGGGAGTGAATACAATACACAGGAAGGTGATTGGATACTTTGATATGGATAGGAAAGTGATTGGATACAGGTCACAGCACCATAAAGAAAAGTTACATTTCATTCTAATTAGATGCCTTTGACAGGCCTTCTAAACTAAAGTTGCCTTGAACAGGCTGGCCAAGTTAAGTAAACAAAAAGGTTACATGTGTGAACGTACAGGGTTAGGGAGGCACTTTAGCAAGCCTATGAAACACAGAGATTACACTTTGACAGTTACCCACTAACAGAGTGGGGTCATCTGGTCTTCACCACCAGACACCGAGGCATCTTTTGATGTGTTTATGGCAGGGCAGTGGGGTGGGATGGTAAGGATTGCTTTTCTGAGTACACACCTCTCCCGCAAACTGAGCTCCAGCACCCAATAGTTCAAATGGGGTTGCCACATGTTTCATGCCTTTTCTGGGCCCTTGAAAATGGGGGCAGAGGACGTACTCACGTGGGAGCTTGAAGGTCTAAGGCTAAGCCATTCTGTTTACCATTCCGACGTCTTGGTGACCTTTGCTGTCCCTGCATCAGAAACAAACTGACTCCACCAGAACACACTGCCAAACAGGCCAGCTGTCAGCGAGTTCCGCTTCCCTTGGCCAATATGGGTTTTAAAACTGCCTGGGTGTTCCTTGAACACTTGGCATAATGGCTCTAACCAGACCACAAATGGGATTCCCTCTTTGACATCCTCTTCCATCCAGATCTGCCCTCCGATTTTAATTCCAGAGTTTTCCAGTGTGGATTCTAATTCAACCTCTAAAAATCTTGGATGTTTTATACTGCTTTGGTGTATCGACCTCACAATTTCTATCAGCTGAGATTAGGTTGGAGAGTGCAAGCTGTCCTCCGGGCTGGGTCCCCCCTTTGCTTGGTTTAGCCTTCTCTTTCCCAGCGAGGCCTCAGGTCCTGGCCACGCGTGGGGTGGGCGTGCGAATGTGGAGAAAGCCTTCCGGTAATGTGAACGTGGTCGATCCCCATGCAGAGTGTGACTGTAGACTTGCGGTTGTGGTGGCAAACATTTTAAGGCAGTGACAGGAAAGGCCCTCATCTTTTCTTGTTGTTGTTAGTTGCGAAGTTGTGTCCGACCCATCTCGACCCCATGGACAACATTCCTCCAGGCCCTCCTGTCCTCCACCATTCCCCGGAGTCCACTCAAGCTCATGCCGACTGCTTCAGTGACTCCATCCAGCCACCTCATCCTCTGCCGTCCCCTTCTTCTTTTGCCATCTATTGTTCCCAGCATCAGGCTCTTCTCCAGGGAGTTCTTCCTTCTCATTAGGTGGCCAAAGTATTTGAGTTTCATCTTCAGGATCTGGCCTTCTAAAGAGCAGTCAGGGTTGTAGTCCTCTAGGACTGACCGGTTTGATCACCTTGCGGTCCAAGGAACTCGCAGGAGTATAAGCCAGCACCACAATTCAAAGGCCTCAATCCTTCGGCGCTCAGCCTTCCTTATGGTCCAGCTTTCACAGCCATACATTGCAACTGGGAAACCATAGCCTTGACTATATGCACTTTTGTTGGCAGGGTGATGTCTTTGCTTTCTAGCTTTGCCATAGCTTTCCCCTGCAAGGAGCAAGT